GTTCCGTTCCACGTGACAATTCACAGAGTCTCTGCTCGGCCATCCTTGGTGTTCTCCCCACACAACAGGATTTCTGATCGAAAATATTGAACACATTTAATATTTACGATTTCAAATCGTGGGGGGGGGCCCTGATCGTCTTAGGTTAAAATCGCTCTTAACAAACCTCACACCACAGGAGCATCTGGCAAGATAATCTTTGTTTCCATCAGATAGTCGAGCCTTTGCTGACTTTGGTCAGAAGGGGGAATCAGTCCCAAAACTGGTCTGATTGTCTTGTAGTGTGTACCCCTGAGTGAATTTGTCACAACCAAAATTGCAAAACAGAATCACAAACTTTAATCCAACCAAAGGGCTGGCTTGTTTAAGCTTGGCTCTGCAAATTAGTTTTTACATGTGCAGGAGGTTCTGTGGGTGTTGAATTACAGTTTCTTATCTTACTGTTTTTATGTAGTTAGTTTGGATTCCGGATGTTTTTAATTTAAGACACAACATTTAACCATAATTGTGTGCCTATATTAATAATAATTAGTTTAGCCAGTGAGCAAGGGTGAATAAATTTCATTAAGTTGTTTCATACACATCCTTAGCATGCACACTTATTGTGACAGTTGCTTTTGCTTTTTGATAAAAGTTGAATGATGATTCTGTGTTTGTTTCATATTATTTCTGTCTTATGTGTTTTTCTAGCAATGCAGAAAGATTCACCTGTCGATGAGAACAGTAGAAGTACTTCAGTAATCCAGCGGATTCACAACAACCAGGTCCTGTCACATTTTTATTTCCTCTGCTCAGCCGGGTGTATATAGACAAGTCAGCTCTAAAGTTATCCCATTCCATCCCATCCATCATTTCAAAGAGGCCCCAATCTTTTGCGTTAATTTATTTCCTTTTTGAATACTGGTTCCATGAAGTGATATAAAATTCTGTCGACTTCCTTTCACCAGCACTCTCATCTGACTCGGTGGTTTGCCGACGTCATGAGACGCTACCACAGGGCTCAAATCTCCTTCAGAGAGAAATGCAAGGCACGGATTCAGAGACAGCTGGAGATTGGTGAGTTGCCAAAAACATAAAGACTTGTTTCTCCTCCCTTCTTGTGTCAGCAGAGTACATATCACAAACCAAAATCTTATCAGACTAGTGCAGTTATTGTATTTCAGGGAGGAAGGAGCCAATGCCCTCCCTCTCGTTATTTATTGCATTCACATTTTTTGTGTTATTGTATCATGTATCAAACATTTTCCTCTTCAGATCCCACACACACTGCTGTTTAAATCAACACCATACTGTACCTTTTTGATTTTGGATTGGAGAAAATAGAACAGCAGCAGAGAAGAGCCTAGGTGTAATTACACCATCTTGTGGTGAACATCCAAAAACACGTTACATTGGATACTTTCTGCCTTGTCAGCACACACTTCTTGTTTGTTTTTTTGTGAAGACTCAACACCTGACGATGGAATCTGTCACTGCCAATGTCTCCCTTTCTAAATGAGACATGAATATGCATTTTTTTGATGGGGAACTTAAGCCTGCACACATCCCTCTAAAATGATGTCATGGTATTTATGATTGCTTTCTGTTTATTTCAGTTGATAAAGTGACAACAGATGCAGAGTTGGAGGACATGCTGCACCGTGACAATCTTACCATCTTCATATCTGATGTAAGAGGATCATTTTTTTTATTCAGAAAAAAAACACAAAACATGGCTATGTAAAGAAGAATAAGTGACAAATAAACCCCTTTTATAGTGAAAGTCTTTCACTTCAATGGTGTCTTTTCATAATAACAACTGTCTAATAATAAGAAAAATCTACTTAAGGAATGTTTTTGTTGTTGCAGCAATAGACAGTGAAGTTAATAAGATAATGATTATAAATCAACTTTTGTCTGTCACAGATCAACTCTAATCGTCAAGTTTCAAGCGAGGCTCTGAGTGAGATTGAATCTCGCCATCAGGACATCATCTGCCTGGAGTCCAGCATGAAAGAGCTGCACGAGGTGTTTGCTGACATGGCCATGCTGTTGGAGATTCAGGTACGACAGCGTCCTCAAAATGAGTGTATGAATGAATATGTTTTTATTCTGATCATTCATTAAAATATAAGAAGAGTAAAAAACGTTTTAATATTCCACATACAGAAACAAAAGCAAATCATGTACACTGGTCCATTTCACAAAATAAAATTCAAAAAAATCAGTGACCTAAAAATGGAACCGGCTGAAGCTCAATACTTATTTCTGCCTATCTTATACAAGACAATCAATAATATATCCCAGAACAGTATAGCAATACAACAATGAAAGCACAAAAGGAGATAAACTCTGAAGTTCAGTTTTTTTAACTCTGCAGATAACTGCACAATTAACTCATCACTAAGGCTGTTCTATAGTTTCACCCCAAAAACTGAATCCCATCTGTATTGTGTTATGTGTTATTATGTCCTCTAGGTTCTCGCTTTACAAGTAAAATACATTTTAAAGCGCAAGATTTTATGGATGTAATATTAGCTTTATTTTTGACTAACAGCTCTTTTCTGGAGCTTAGTTAAGGGATCCATGTTGGGTTTTATACACATTTCCTTAGACCTCAACAGTTTGTCATATATGGCATGATAAGCGAGCAATATTCTTATTCAATAGGTCCTTTATTTTGTAAAGAATTTCAATAGATTCAGAAAATGTTTGTTTGATGTATTTTATGTGAGGCTTCTAACAAAGTTAATGATCTGTGATCACTCCTAGAGATGTTGTTTCATAGACTCTATTTCAACTCCCATTTAATTTTTTTTTTTTTTTCAAACTCAGCCTTATCACCACCAAACACCATACATTTAGTTAACTTTGATTTCACTTACACACTCCACCACATTGTCAATAAAAGTTGTCATATCACCAATTACCTTACATTTTAAATCAGAGTTCATGAACAAGGCAACACCCCCCTCCCCTTTTATTTGACCTTTTTTGCCAAAACATTTCATTACCTTTCACACTAATAATATTGAAAATCCATAGGCATATTCTAATAGAAGTGGATCTAGGTCATTGTCTCACAGCCTTTCCTAACACTACGTCACCTTGTGCACGGCAGAGACAAAATCAGCTTGATTCTATTATTTCCTATTGGAGTGTTCTTTGTTATTAATTCTGTTTTTCTTGAATCAGGGGGAGTTGATCAACAACATTGAAAAGAATGTGACAAGTGCTGCAGAATATGTAGACGTGTCAAAAGCAGAAACCTATAAAGCTGTCTCATACAAGAAAAACCCATACAAGATAGCATCAATGCCGAGCTTCTTGAAAACCTTCAAGAGGCAAGCAAGCACTAAAACGGCAAACGATCAGAAAACCTCAGAGGCAAACCATGACTCAGCTCCTGAACCGGTTTGAAGAGAGACTGCACCAAGTATCACAATCCACATCAAAGCCTGTGCCTGATGGAAAAAACACTTTTCATCTGATATATGGCGCAGTACCTGTCTGCCACCTCAGATGCTTTTTTTTTCCTCAAGGATACTGTGGAGCCTTTTTTTGGGGGGGAATTTTTAAATGGTGATTAGGACGCTTGTGTTAATGACCAATCAAATGAAAGTGTTTAGATGTTGAGGACAAGCCTTAAAATGAGGAAACCTAAGGATCAAAGTGTGAAACCTGTAATAAATTAGTTTGTTATTCACTGTTCACTGAGTTAAATCCTCAGACTAAAGGTTATTCCATTATCATGTCAAGAATTGAATTTGTTCAAACAATTCTCCTTCAAAACTCCCTTCTGTTGATCTGTTCCTCAGTTCATTCTCAGAGGTAGCCGATGTTCCTCTTAGTGGCCAATAGGGGGCATGACAACATTAGAAAAGAGACTGTAAACAAGGCTCATTTGACATTCTTCCTGAACTGTGATATTTGTGTTTTTGTCTGAATCTTTATTTTGTACTTTATTTTGTACTACAGATGGAACAAACATATGACACAGTCAAACACATTGATGTTAAATTATATAGCTGCTCCAGACTCAATGGTTTTTGCCACATAGATGCATTGTTGTGTCAGTCCACCACTTTGTCCATAATAGCTTTAGAAACTATTGAGTAAAGTTCAATTATATTACCTGTTATTAAGGATTCTATCCAATGCAAATATTGTGTCGCTCTCCAAGAACCTAATAAGATTAACATCATCCTAAATTGTGTTTTGTGTTTATTGATGTGTCTTAATTAGTAATGTCTGCATGCTATTATGCTTTATCACTAACACATAGTTAACAAGTTCCTGCACAACATCAGGTCTTAAACATAATTTCTTTGAGCAATGAAGTGAACTGACAGAATTTAGTGGAAAAATTACAATGTTCAAAAGTCTATAAATATAGCTTCAGACCATTTAGTCTAAAATGCTTCAACTTAAGTATACATCATAAGAAACATGTCCACATGAAAACAGCATGATTGCCAAAAGGTGCAATGTTTTAAAGCCTTTTTTTAAAGTTTAAAAAAATGCAGTACTACATGTAGTTAAATACTAGTATACATACAGATGAGTTGGAAATTAAAAGGACAACAAAGTGTTGTTTGTCACCTGTTTGTAGATCAAACAGACTCATAGCAATATTTTACTGCTTAAAAATAATTATTGGCATTTGCAATTCTGTTGATATAACTGTATAGTCGAGGAAAGGTAAAAGCTTTTTCCTGCATCATGGGAATGCTGCCAGGATGAACCCACTGACTTGTTTCTCTCTCTCTCTCTCTCTCTCTCTCTCTCTCTCTCTCTCTCTCTCTCTCTCTCTCTCTCTCTCTCTCTCTCTCTCTCTCTCTCTCTCTCATTCTCCTCTCTTCCTCCTGGATTAGATTTCACAGCACCTTTGCTCTTTGCTGAAACAAGTCATTTCCAAATTGGAAACTGAAGGAGTAATAGATAAGGATGACAATGTAATCTGAAGAAAGACAGGGCGGGAAGAGACATGAGCAGATAAGAATAAAATGAACAGACACAGATTTACATAAAAACATGGTTTCTCTTTATTGGTGGTGCCACGATTTTGAGCCTTCAAAATTTGGGCTTGACCACAATTTTAAAAGGGCTGAGTGGCGTGTGGCTGTAAAGACAGGGGTCCAGCTGTCTGCTTTAATTAACAGGTCATCCCTATGTGTGTCTAAATCAAACAAAAAGGGCTGAAATCGGCCTGTGTACCAAAAAACCATAAACATTTCCCCTGTTGGAATGGACTACAAAGAGGGAACAATGGATGGCAGGAGAGCTTAAAGGATGAGGGGGGGGGGAACAGTCTGTTTTTTCTGCCTACTCATGGAGCAGGCTTACTTCTTGGCTTTTCCCTGGGCAGCCACAGCCTCCATGGCCTTCTTCACTGTTTCCTCATCACCGAGGAAGGACATTGGCTTAATGGGCTTCAGGTCTGCATCTAGCTCGTACACAATTGGGATTCCTGTTGGCAGGTTCAGCTCCATGATGGCTGCATCAGACATACCTGGACAGACGGGTGGAGATGGACATGCAGATCAGCAGACAGTACAGAGGGGATGTAACTGATACTATAACAGGCTGTCTGGGGCCTAGCTAGACAGAAAGGACAATTATCTTATGTAATAAAAGCAGACCACAGGGCAGGTTTTTTTTTTTATGTGTGACTATTTAAAGTCATTTTGATTCCCTAAGAAATTCAATCTACTTCTTCATCTTTAGGACATCTAGTATCATTATGTGACATTTACTTTTGCCCTTGAGTCTCTCTGGATGTTTAAGTCCCTTATCCATGTCTGGCCACTCCTTGAAAAAGTACAACCTTTCTACATAAAGGTCGTGACTGTAACGAGAACCAGGCTCCTGACCCTCTTCCCCCGTCCCTGAGCTCTGACAGTCCCAGCATGCTATTTTTATACACTGTAACCCACAACTGTGTGTGTGTGTGTAAGTGTCTGCAGCTATTTAAGACCTGGCCTTGTATGCAAATCCAGACAAAGTTATTTTTGCTTGCTATTTGTCATTGGGTGATGTTAAATTTTTGATGTTACGTATTCAACTCTTCTTGAATCTCTTCTTCATCAGGTTATTTTTTTTTTAAGCTTTGTCCAGCCACAGACAGGAATGCTCACCTTCCAAGTGCTTGACAATGCCACGGAGGCTGTTGCCATGGGCAGCGATGATGACATTCTTTCCCGCCTTGATTTCAGGGGCAATGACATCATTCCAGAAAGGCAAGGCACGGGCGATGGTGTCCTTTAATGATTCACATGTTGGGAGCTCACCAGGCTTCAGATTCTTGTAGCGACGGGACTGTAGGAAGAAACAATCAGTAGATGGCTTACTACAAGTGCAATACAACAACATCCAACTTATCATTAAGGCTGGTGAACAAACATTGGAGCACTAATCATCATCTAATTCATTTTAATAAATTGGAAACTGCTCTTTCAATTAGATCCATTTGTGAGAGTAGTCATTGTAATTGCTCAAACTCAATTATGGAATACCTTACACTGTGTAAGTTTGGCATAGACTCACCTCACTGATGATTTTGTTGTAAGCGTGGTCCTTGTCCATGGGTGGAGGTGGGGTGTCAAAGGAACGGCGCCAGATCTTCACCTGCTCCTCTCCGTGCTTTTCAGCTGTCTCGGCTTTGTTAAGACCAGTGAGGCCTCCATAGTGACGCTCATTCAGACGCCAGGTACGAATCACAGGCAGCCACATCTGGTCCGTGCCTTCCATTATGGTCCACAGGGTCTTGACAGCACGTTTCAGTACCGAGGTGTAGCACACATCAAACTTGAGGCCGGCCTCCTTGATAGCCAGGGCCCCGCGCTTGGCCTCCTCCATACCCTTCTCACTGAGGTCGGCATCAAACCAGCCGCAGAAACGGTTCTCCTGGTTCCAGGCGCTCTCACCATGGCGGACAATAACCAAACGATGTGCAGCAGCCATGCTTACAGTGTGTCTTCTTGGTATACTTCAAACCAAACACAGTACCCTCAGCCCTTCTAAGTTGTGCACACACACACACTGACTGACCAACAGTGAGCCAGAGCCCGCATACCAAACTGTTTTTATAGTGACAGGCCTCTGTTACATTCCACCTGTGAGAGGCTGTCACACTCTGATGGACATACAAGTCCAGCCAATACTCAGTCCTCTGCTGGGCTGCTGGGACATGTGGTGGCTGGGAAGGCCAGAGGTCAGACATAAAGCCAAAATAGCAACATGACTTTTAAACTGAGATCTGTGGAACAAAAGTGTAAAGATCAGAGAGGCACCCTCAGCCTGAGATGAACAGGTCCATCACTGAGAGAGAAACTGGAGCTTATTAGGAGTTTGTATGTTTAGGAAAGTGAAGTGAAAGTGTCAGTAAGTTTGCTCACAGGGCATTAGTTGAGTGTGTGGGGGGAGAAACTCTGTGCAACATGTTGCCAAAACAAAGCTGAACATATGCAAATGTTGCCGTCAAGAGCAGCAGCAGCAACTAAGTGGCCTATGCTCTTCTTTATTTAATAAATAAGCTAAATTAGAATTTAGCTAAAAACACTAAGAGCAGTGCATCTGGGACTTGTGCATTGTTATATGTATGCCCATGTCAAATAAAAAGTTTAATAAATACAATGAATATACTGTGTAACAGTTATGGTTATTACAATTGAGACCAAAGTTTGGCAAGGTAAGGCTAAAAGAACATCAGTAGCCATTAACAGGAGTGATAAAAAGTTATAACTTCTCCTAAGATCTCAAGCAATTTCATGACCTTGTTCAACTTGTAAAATCATGTAAACAAACAATCTGTCGGTTTATGTGAAATCCTTGGCAGGAAGAGGACTGCACAACGTGTCATTTCTCTACATCACCTCTGGGAGTCACTGTAATATCATTTACAAACATTGATTCTACATGCATAAAGCAACAAGTCACTCCATATCAAGCAAAACCAAGACAGACTGCATGGTCCTCAATCTTTTTTAAGGTGTCAGAATGTGTAGGAAAGACACTTTACAAAAGAGCAGTTAAAAATACCTTACTCTTTGTCTTTTAACATTACAAAAGAACAGGTAAAACTCATTGTTATGTTAGAAAAAGCTGGTAAAAGACCTTACTTAATGCTATATTACAAAGACCCGGCTTAATCCATCATAAGCACTTTAGCAAAGCAGCAAAAGTTACAGTGGTAAGAAAAAAACGGCCTTATTAAAAGACAGAAATCTTCAGGCCTAGACTGCACCGAGCTAATCAAGACAATAAACTAATTAATTAGGGATCTGAGTCATTGTGTGAAACAGTTTGTTTTTTCCCACGTGTGGCTGAAGTCCTCCACACGCACACACACACACACACACACACACACACACACACACACACACACACACACACACACACATACGCACTTGTTTTTGTCTTTCTAAAGATTGATGACACTGAATCTGTTTATAAAAAAACAAGTAAAGGTCAAGATAAAATAATACATCATTCCAGACTTGCAAAAACGCATCGGATTTCTGTGATTTCTTAAGGTCGAACTTGCAGAACAGTTTAATGTATTAATTCCCAACTGCATATGAGTTGGCAAATAAGAATGGCATTTCTGTTACTAAAATGTGACAGTGCAAAAGAGAGCAGGTTCATTCTTTGTTTTGAATGGATTGGTTTCAGCTGTCTAACACTTCTGCTCTCTATCATGCTAAGCCTCATAGGATGCCATGAAGTTTAAAAGAGCAACTTGCATCAGAAGACAGAATGTTGGAAACAGTATGGCATCAGTTCACAGTCCATATATCGCAAGTTGGCATGACTGAGTAAACTCTTATAGGGCATTTAAGGAAGTAATGTTCAAATGTTGTCTTTCCTTTTGTAATTTTTCATATCAGGTACACATTTCCTTCAGATATGATCTAGAAAGTAAGCACAATTTCAATCAGCCCCATTGTTATTCAACCAACATTTCTAAATGTTACTTTTTTTTTTTGGTGCACACCAGCATGCATCGGTAACTGTTACTTTAAGAAATACACTTAACATAAATAATTGCACATGCTAATGAAAATAATGAAAGCCATATATTATCCAGTACCATTGATGATATGCTATGCTGGGAAGCAGCGGTGCACTCAAACCTAGAGGACAGAGATAAAAGTGCTGATTAAGCTTTGAAAGCAAAGCCATCCAGAGCTGTACCATCAGGCAAAGTCGATGTCTCCTGTCACTGCCAATCAAATTATGATCTATATATAGAAAAAGAGAAGAAATAGAATAGTCTGCACATTATTAATAAATAACCAGGCGAAGGGCCCAAGCTATACCTTGTGATCAAAGAAAATAATCAGATATTTGTGATGTACATAGGATGATGCTGGTGGAAAGACACTGGAGATGCCTTTATGATGCAGTTCTATATGTGGTACTCATGTTAATAAAATGAATAAGAAAGCACTGCTATCAATGTTGAGATAACAGAGCATCAGAAGCCATAGCTGCGCGCTATACAGAACCTTGAAGCCTCTAAGCTCTTTAAGCTCTTAGTTTTTGTTTAATTGCATATCTCAATTTGCTTTAGTCTTGCAACCCTTGTAAAAAAAAAAAGAAGCATTTCCTAACAAAAGACTGTATAAACCTCTGGTGAAGAAAAGGGTAAAGAAAAGAGTAGAGAGAGTAAGCCCTCATAAGTCAGCGGTCATGTCTCACATAGTTCTGGTGCATTGTATTCATCTGAGGAGCTGTAAACATGGATCTGGCATTGATAATGAAGATAAGCAACGGAATAGAAGAGAATCTTGATTGTCCACTAGAGGTGGATATTTGCTTCAGGCTCTCCAGATACATGATATAACATTCAGTAAGTCAATAACACAGACAACATTGCAGCTAGATTTACACTTTAAAAGCAGTTCATATCATGGTTCAGATCTCATCGGTCATGTTGTAAGATTAAAGATGTTTACTGCACTTGGGATAAATTACTTCTTAAGTATATTTTTAGTTGCCAGAGGGAATCTATAACTCCTCCCACAGCTCAGAGGCTCAAACTGGCAAAACAGAGAATGTGAATTGTCTTCTAGGATACTCCTCGCTTTCTTCCTTGTCCTTTCATTGAATAGTTGAGACAGAGGTTTTTGTGGTTTGCCCACTCTCTTGCCTACTATTGACACAATCTTAGAGAGTTTCTTCGTGAGCTAGATGGGTACACCCGTTTTAAATGTGCTGACTGACACCAAGTCCACTTTCTTTCTTTCTTTTTTTCTTTCTTTCTTTCTTTCTTTCTTTCTTTCTTTCACACTTTCAGACTTGAAGATGTACTCTGTATTTTCAGGGATGCTCAGCTGGCAGTTCAAAACTGTGCCAAGGTATACTCAAGTATTCCACAGTTTCAACAAATTGGCTGTCAAGTGAAACTGACTCAGCTTATATATCTTGTTAAGTGCAGATAATTCATTCTTTTGTCTTGGCTACAGCCGGCTGGTGTGACACCATGTCTCCAGGGCCTTTATGCGGAGTGAATACGCAGCTTCACCAGAAGCCTTGTTTTTCTGTAACAGGCCTACAAGGGTCATATCATCAGCATGTTTAAATAAAGTGATTTTTTTTTTTTTGCCATTGATCTTAAATTCATTTGTAAATAGAGAAAATGACACAGGGGAAAGAACACAGCCTTGGGGGCAGCCAGTGCTGACTGTGAGCACATCTGACATGCTGCTCCTAACACAAACCCTAATTCACCATATTCAAGCTTTTAGTCAGAATGTGTGAAGGAACATACATCATATATACAGTATACAGTGTGTTCGTGTGTGTCTGTATTTAAGTTTGTGTGCCCCTAGTGGCAAAAGGTAAGAATATGCCTTTGAGGTCAAACAGTATAGAATGCTGTGACTGTAAAATGACATATCATTTTACACTTCTCCTTTGTGCAGAATTAGATTTATATAAGTTCAGTAAGCGGAGCTGTATCTTACACTACAGAAAAAGATGAATAGTGGATTTTATTTTGAGTTTGGAGGCTTTGGAATTCATGCACAACAAGGTTTCTTTTTGGCCTGAGGAACAAGGATTTTTAAAAGCAGGAATTAAGTCATTACCAAAGCAACAACCTTTAAATCATCACTTTAAGTGAGCTAATGAGCTTGTGAAGAGATGTTCATTATCGACTTTCTTTCATTTCCCCAGGTCCTGTAAGCATCTTGTCTGCCAAGATGCAGACAAAATGCAGAATGTGGGACTGCTGTGAGGGTGGGAATGAGTGCACAGGGGAGTTTGTGTGATCACAAATGTTACGATGACTCAGGCTGCAGCAGAGTCCATGCAGATCCTCCTCCAGTCCCCCACCTTTCATTGCCTGCCTCCCCTCTGTTCAGGCACAGCACTTTCTGTGATCACAGAGGGCCGTTGCTGCATATGCAAATTATTATATGAATCATGCAAATACACAAAACAGAGAGAAAAAGAGACACTGCTGCAAAACGCTGCAATACACTTCTGTTAAACATGCTTCTTTAACAAGGTGAATTTCTCCCCATTAACTCTCACAGAGCTACGCCATCCCTGCAGACACACACACACACACCTGACACACAAAGAATAAAAATGCATGTCAGCAACTTGGTGTAAAAGACCTGCCAGGGTATCTGAGCTGCAGAGGAGAGGTACTGTTCCCCTTTACACAACTGAAATACCAAACTAAAACATCTTCTTTCACGCTAAAAAAAAAAAATTAGACCCATTTTCTTTTTAATTATGAATCAATATTATTTTAAAACATATCACAAAAAAAAAACTCATAGCAACACATTTCATGTGTCTTATTTCATTGGTACAGTTAATTAAATGTAGTTATAATTCAGGACTTTAATTATAAATCCCTACTAAATTACTGAAGGGTTCAGGACATGGAAAAACCAAACACTTTCATTTCTGCCTGTGTTTCTGCCTGCCTGTATATTTACTGTTAGTTTTCATGAGGTCCTTATGCAGAGCCAGAAGAAGTCAGACAACAACAAAGTTGTGAATGTGTAATTTAAAAGGAAATTAATGGAATCTGTTAAATTAATTTACAAATACCACATCATCAAGGTGGGCCTTGTTGATAAAAATGTAAGAAAATATAGAATTTATATTTGCAATAGATTTGCAGATTTAGCAGTATTTCATTTCATAAGTTTGATAGTTTACCCATGTCTCTAACCTCTTACCTTTCTGTTTGGGTGGTGTTTTGTTTTTTAATCACTGCAGGTCTTTTGAGGTCGTGCCTGCAGTTCTGCTCGCCACCAGACGGAGAGTTGCTGTGTCACAATTGTTAAATCAGGACACACCTCCCTCCCTCTCTCTCTCTCTCTCTCTCCCTCTCTCTCTCTCTCTCTCTCTCTCTCTCGCTCTCTCCCCTGCAGTGAGAAAACCACAGCAACTATGGTTTAGTATGTATGAAATTTCCCCACATGATACATAAAAATAAATCTACATCCATCACATTAATTTGCAGTTTTTCTTTGGTCATTGTATAAGTTAACAATTTTCTTTCTCAATTTGTCTTTCTGCACACAATGTTTTCTACTTGTTTTGTTTTGTTTGTCTGTTTGTATCTTTTTACAATGTGAAATAGCAACTAAGCTGGTTTGGAAAATACTTTAAATGCCAATCAGGGCAAGACAAATGTGTAGTTTTGCAATCTCTTCCCCCAATGTCTTTACATCTTTCTGTTTGGACTCTTTTCCCTCCTACACATATTCCCATGGTCCCTCTCCGTCTCTTTTCTTGCCGGTGCAGTGTAAGCCTATATAGAGCCTGCGTTGTCAGAGTTTGGAGGAAAGCGCTTGCGTCATAGCTCACCGTCCTGCTATAAAAGCCCGGGCTGCTGCAGTAGAAGGCAGTCGAGGCTTTAACCTGAGCCCTTCATACACCTCCACACACACACACACACACACACACACACACATACACAGAGAGGAGAGGGAGAGCAGCCTGTCCTCCAAACAAACAGCCATGAGTAGCATTGGATATGACCCCTACTACTCCCCCTCGTCATACAGACGTTGGTATGTCGAGGCTCCCCAACGTGTCATGATGACAAGAGGGAGGACTCACTCTGTCTACTCTTCCCATGCCTCGCCGCTATCCTCCTCCCGTCTGCAGTACTCCTCTCCTGGCCGGGTGCAGCTCTCGTCCTCCTCCCGGGCCGCTTCCCTGGAGCTGGAGCTCAGCCAGGCGGCACAGATCAGCTCAGAATTCCGTGCCGTTCGCACCCAGGAGCGTGGCCAGCTTCAGGATCTCAATGACCGCTTTGCTGGCTTCATCGAAAGGGTGCGTGACCTGGAGCAGCAAAACCGGGCTCTGGAAGCAGAGCTGATGCTGCTCAGGCAGAGGCACACTGAGCCATCCCGTCTGAGAGCTCTGTACGAGCAGGAGGCCCGGGCCCTGAGGGCGGCTGTCGATGAGGCCAGGGCGGAACAACAGGCTGCCCTTGGGCAGAGAGAGCGGTTGGAGCAAACCCTGACTGCCCTGCAGGGTCGATATGAGGAGGAGGTGCTGGCTCGTGAGGCTGCTGAGGGCAGGCTGATGGACGTGCGTGGTCAGGCTGATCAAGCTTCTTTGGCCAAGGCAGAGCTGGAGAAGAGCATCGAAACTCTGCTGGAGGAGCTGGCCTTCCTCAAGAGGATCCATGAGAGTGAGGTGGCTGAGCTTCAGGCCCAGGTCCAGCTGGGTGTCCAGGTGGCGGTGGAATCTGAGGCCGCGACCCCTGACCTCTCCGGAGCTCTAAGGGACATCAGGTCCCAGTACGAAAGGCTGGCATCCAGGAACATGCAGGCAGCAGAAGAGTGGTTCAGAGGGAAAGTGGGATCCATGACTGAGACAGTGGCCCAGCACAGTGACGCAGTGAGAAGCTCCAAGGACGAAGCAGGAGAGTACCGACGCCAGCTCCAGACCCGCCTGCTGGAGATCGATGCCTGTAGAGGCCTCAATGAATCCCTGGAGAAGCAGCTGAATGAGATGGAGGAGAAACATAGTGCAGAGATCGCTGCTATGCAGGTCAGAAGGGGCTGCAGGTGTTGTCTGACATGTTATTTAATATTCAGAACTTTTCCTTTATGTGACATTAATCTTTCAAATTCAAGGTTTACTTTACATGTTATATGTCCTTGCATGTGTGTCACATCAAAGACTTGACTGTTTTTTTTTTCCATCTAGGACACCATTGGAGAGTTGGAGTCAGAGCTGGGGGGCACCAAACAGGAGATGGCTCACTACCTGAAAGAGTACCAGGACCTCCTGAATGTCAAGATGGCTCTGGATATTGAGATTGCTGCATACAGGTGACAGTAGAGTGACGAGGGGCAATCTTAATAGATTTCTGAAAATGTAAAGAATCGTAGAGATTGAATTCTTTAGTAGTTTTGATTTTATGTTTAATGTTGAAGTAGTTACAGGATTTGTATAAATGGTGGCACCCACATGTTAGAAGGTTGAAGAGGTTCATTAACATGGGTATTTAAGGCATGATTAGTTCACATTCATTTACCAGGGACCAAGTTGTAGGTCAGAGTGCAACTTTTTTTTTTTTCTTAGCATAGAAAGGGAGAAAAAGTGTTTTTATCAAACACATGATTAGCTTTCCTCACAACTTATGGAAATCACTTTAAATTGACCATTAATTGAACAATTAATCTGTTTCACTGATCTGTCCAACCTGTGCAGGAAGCTGCTCGAGGGGGAGGAGACCCGCTTCAATGTTGGGGGCGTGTCCTCTCTATACAGCCACAGTTTCTCAGCACCCTCCTTCACCCGACCTGTGCTCTCCAGCCTGAGCTCTGGCACCTCCTACCTGATGACGTCACGCCTGTTCAGCTCCAGCGTCAGCACCACCGATGGCACCATTTCTGCCAGCCACGCCCAGCAGGCAGAAGCCAGCCCACCAGCAGAGGAAGAGGAGGAGAAGGAGAAGGAGGAAGAGGAGGAGGAAGAAATAAAGGAAGAAGAGGTAGAGGAGGAAAAGGAGGAAAAGGAAGAGGAGGGAGGAGAGGAGACAGAGGAGGCAAAGGAGGAAGAAGAAAAGGAGGAGGAAGAGGGAGGAGAGGAGGAGGGTGACAAGGGCGAAGAAGAAGAGGGGGAGACTAAGGAAGAGGAGGAGGCAAAAGAGGGAGAAGAGGGTTAGTGCAATGTTTTTTTTTCTATAATCTTTAATTAATTAATCTTTAATTTAATTGCTCAATATTATTCAAATGCTATTGGCCATGACGACACATCATATGAATTTGTTCACCTTTTGATATAGGTGGTGATGAGGAGGAGCAAAAAGAGGAAGTGACCGAGGCAGCTGAAGACGAGGGCGAGAAAGACGACAAAGGAGGAGATAAAGGCGAGTCTGAAGAACAAGAAGAAGCACAAGAAGAGGTGAAACCTGAAGAGGCAGAGGACAAAGACGAAGAAGCAAAAGCAGAAGAAAAACAGGAGAAGGAAGAAGAAAAAAAGAGCGACGCGAAGAAGAAAAAGCTGATGCCAAGAAAGACAGCAAAGATGACGCCAAATCTGACAAAGCCATAGCTACTCCGAAAGCCGAAGACAAAGCTGACACCAAAAAGGAGAAAGAGGAGGAAAAGGCTGCTGAACCTAAAGCTGCTGAAGAAAAGAGCACAAAGGCTAAAAAGTAAGCCTTTAGCACCAGCAAACTTCAGTCAAGTCTGTCCATTAGCTCAATAACCAGTAGCAGCATCTACACTGTCCTGTCAGTACTGCTTGTTAACATGGTGCTCAATAAAACAGTCCAGCCATTTACAGCAACAAATCAAGGTTAACTGCTTGCAAATATCCAGAATACTCTGTATAGTTCTGGTTGCACAATTATGATTCTAAGATGTATAGATGCTGAATGTATAAGTGGGTGTGAGAGGTTTTGGTGGTTAAATAAAACACCTCCTAAAGCCATGTGTGTCTCTGATTTTTAATGTGGTGGAGTAAAAAGATAAAGTCCTGACAGATAGAGAACATAAATGGTAAAGTTGCATCATCTTGCACCAAATAACTAATCAAATTATTTGTATCCGTGAACTTACTTAGCAATAAACCGCTTTTCTGATTCTCATCCAACCTATGAGCATGCTTGGGTCATTGGGTCAATCCTACGTTTTCAAGCCAAACAGAAGGTTAGAAACAAGCGACTTTCCTCTTATGATGATGCTTCTTCATCTGTATATCTGTAAGGCAGTATTTAACTTGTAGTCCAATGGTTTTCAAACAACCTCCCGTTAACAATGATGCTAGGAAATGTCCAAACTTATTCACTTCATTCATATTTATTGATGCAACACTAAAAAAACACACCTTTTTGTCACCCCTTATACTATTAGGGTGTGAAAGTTTTTGTTGTGCTTTCTTTCTTGACCTAATTTCACATAGTATGTAGATGGATGTAAACAGGAAGTAAGATATTGGAATGCATTTATTGAGCTTGAATCTTTTGTTTAAAATTTGGCAAATTAATTGGCTGATTAATTATACTCCGAACTTACTGATAGGCTAATAGATTTAATTTAATACATTTTGCTAGTCTTTGATAATGTTTTTTTTAATTAATATATACAGTATTATGTTTTTATAAAGGTTTTGTCACAAATGACAGATATTAATATCCTTTTTGTTTTAAAATGTCACTGAGTTATAACTTTGACAAAACACAAAAACATACAAAGGATTTTATTACCAATGTTAGACAAGTGATAATGGTACTTTTACCTATTTTCTCTAACAGGACTGATGAAATTGATGTTTATAAAAAAAAAAAAAAAAAAACTGACCCAGCAGAAATCTTTATGAATGTGTTTTACGTCCAAATATTCAACAAATAGTAACAGTTTGTCTTTGAGGAACAAATAAAAGTCCAGCATGTAACAAGTTACTTGATAAAAGAAGCTAAAAGCCACAAGTGACAATAAGATGTGTATTATATATCATAGGAGCAGAGGCGTGTCCAGAGGGTTGGCATGGGCCACCCTTGAAATCTGATTGGTCACGCCAGATGCCACCCCAAAAAAAGTCAACTGTGATTGGCTATTTGCCTTGTCAAAGGTGACGCTTCTGTTGGGTTTTTTGCAAATGGCTGCTGTTAGGTTGCTTATTTTTTTGCTTGTATTTGACATTGTAAATAAATACTTGACACATCTATTTTATAAAACATACTTGTTTTATTGGAAAGTAATGCATGCTGTCTTACACATAATTAACTGCCATTTTTTGGTGTTTTTACTTAAGACAGTGTACAGGAGTTTGCAAGCATTTCTTAAGTACTTTAAATTGTGAATTTGAACAGACATTTTCTTTTTGTGTCATTAATGAATTAGGTAGCTAAGTTGATGTATATGTTTCCATTATCTTGTGTTATAATGTAGCTTTGACTGTTGAAGTTAGAAAGGGTAAATAATTGATATGCATGTGTGTAGGTCCACATCACACTTCAGGCCTCCCCTGCTTAAGTCGCAGTTAGGCCCCAGTTAGGCCACCCCAGTCAAAAAAGTCTGGACACGCCCCTGCATAGGAGTGTGCATATATTTAAGGGAATATTTAGGAAGTCAGTGACTCAAACATGTAAACTATGACACATATTTAATGACAAGTTCACTTAATAGCTAACCAATAGCAACCATAAGTTTCTTATCATACCAGAAGAAGTTGAGTACATAATTGAGCTATTGTGCGTTTTGAATTTGGCTTTCTAAAGCTTGTTCTCCACTGTAAGATTAACATGCAGAAGGGGTGGAGCAAAGGACAGAACACCGAGCTTCTGGGACCCTCCAGGTGTCCTGTGTTTGTCTGGGATGACAAAGCTGTTTCTCAGGTAATGTGTCTGAGAACAGAGACAGATTACTAGATACACATGCCGTGTCTATTAGAGCCATTGGATACTTGCACGATTTTACAGATACACTAAGACACATGATAATGAATACTTCCATGTGGAATTAATAAACTGAAAGTTATACTTATCACATCTAGAAACATGATAAAGTTATTGCCTTCTTTTACAGAGGGGCTTGTATTAACAGTATACTTTCTAGTCTACATCTATAGTCTCCCCTAATGGCACAAGATCCCCTCCAAATGCTGCTACATATTGTCCTCTGACATCTTGCACCCATCAGCTGCTCTGTTTTTTTACTCTGCTGTGTAGACATAAACTGTTTAAACATTAGACACTCTGCAGCAGCAGTTATGGAGCCGTCAAAAAACTTCCTTAGACACCGTTGCAGATACTTATTTGCACCCAAACCAGTCAGCACTATCATCTCCCATCACTTCTCGTGCTTTATGATGTTGACAAAAAAACAAAGTCACATTTTTAAAACCTCTTGGCAAGAAAGTCAGGCAGATCATCGATCAAATCTGGAGCTGGAGAAAAAGCTCTCAGCTACACATTAGCCGTTATGCAGGGAAATAAATCTCTGCCCATCCTTTCAGCATGGACAGTGAAATGTCATCTCACAGGGTTTTCTTAATTTAAAATAACCACTTCAGTGATTAATGGCATGATTCCAATCTACAGCCAGGAACAACTTTATATGAATAGATAACATTATAAATTATAAATACTTAAAACCTGTCTGAAAAAGATCATTGTCGTCTGAATACTATCCCTCAGTATTGATAAGGCATGCAATAATGTGACCACAAGAAGTGAATCTGCTAGAGAATTAAAGCAAAATTATATACAATTAATTAATTAATTAATTATATGATACATGTGGGCTATCAATAGAGAGGGATGGATTGGATTATAGGCACTGATCTTTTTTTTAATAAATTAAATATAACTTGTGTTTATTGTAAGTTGTCTACATTGTTTGGTGACAAGAGGCAAGTGTATTTAAAAAGTTGGGAAATATTCTGTAATTTAAGCTTAAATATAAAGCCATTCATTTCATGGCTATAGGTCATTGTACCATATGTAACTTACTCTAATATCATGATTGACTCCTGTATGGGATCGTAAAGCATGCTTTTATGCACATAAAATGACAAGACACAGTTTTTTGTTTTCATCTTTATGACATTTATTGAGCAAATGCTGCTGGGAAATCGTTCATGATGAGTAAAGTCATGGGATTGCAAACAGTAGCACCTCATTTATTTCTGTATTTAAATTCAAGTCCATCCTATGCATACAAGAATGCATGTATGTGCGCATTTACATTTTTATTTTTCAGTTGCACTCAGGTTAACATAACAGACACAGATAAAAAGCATGTTTAAGGCTAGGAGTTTCTTCAGGTTTCGTTAAGCTTGAACTGCTTCAGTTACTGGATGTATATGGTCCTGTGTTTATCATATCCCTGACTGTCTCTTTCTTGACTGTATGTTGTGTATTTGTTGTCACTTTCTTTTTGGCTCAGTTGGTATCTTACCATGTCAAGTAAGGCTTCTTCAGTAAGACCCTCCCACCTGTCTTTCCCCTTCCTGTTACTTAAATCTCAAAATACTTCTCAACTCTAATAATAATTCTCTCACTCTCCCACCCAAATAACATGTGTTTCCTTTTACATATGTATTCTTTTTAAAGTGTATTTCTACCATACATACTGATACGAGAGGAAAATCTTCCCCTCTCCTGAGCTAGCATGCAGAGACCCCCCTCCCTCCCTCGCTGTAATATCTCCAGTGAACTGCAGAACGAAACAAAAAGAGGATAAAATGTCTCAGTCGCTTGCTCCTGACCGCGTTTGCAGCGAAGCCCATTTAAAGCTGTCACTCAACATGCATTTTTTGAAGTTGGAAGCATTAAGGTTTTGGCTTCTCTCTATGCTTTGTTTTGTATGTTTGAGAGTGGTTAACTTTATTACGTCGCTCTAGCTGTATGATTTTCTTTGTTATGTTAGTTCTGGGTTGATTGCTTATCTTCGGGTCTTCTCCTCTGGCCCTCTCCTCCTCCTCCTCTGCTGGATCAGCCGCCTGGTTGCTGCTCAGTCAGCCTCGGTCACCTGCTTGACAGACTGGGTGGAGTGCTTCTCCGTCTTCTTGCTGGTGACAAGCTTCTCCTGCACCAGCTCCTCAACTTCTTCCACCTCCTTCATTGTCTCGGTCACAGTGATGGATTTGGTGACGTGCTTGGATCCGTCCTCTCCTGTGGTGATGGTCTCCACGGTTTTGGTGATCACCACCTTCTGGCTGCCGTCATCCTTGACTGGGCTCTCGTCCACACCATTAGCGATTACGTCCGATTCTTTATCCTCATCTTTCTTCCCTTTCTCCTCTGGGCTGCTCTTGTCGACATCGCCATTCATAGCAACATCCTTCTTTTCTAGCTTCTTGTCTTCTGTGGAGTCGCTCGTTTTCTCTGATTTCTCTTCAGCAGCCTTCGGAGCCTCAGGCTTGGCAGTCTCTTTCTTTGGGGATTCAGCTTTTGGAGATCCAGGTTTTGGGGATTCTGATTTAGGCGACTCAGATTTCGGAGAGCTTGGTTTTGGGGATCCAGTTTTGGGGGAGTCTTCTTTGGGGGAATCAGGCTTTGGAGATGAAGGTTTCGGGGATTCTGATTTAGGAGACTCAGGTTTAGGTGATTCAGACTTGGGGGATGCAGGCTTAGGAGATTCAGGCTTTAGAGATGTGGGTTTTGAAACTTCCTTCTTGGCAGGCTCTTCCTTCTGGGCAGGCTCTTCCTTCTTGGCAGGCTCTTCCTTCTGGGCCTCAGATTTAGCAGATTCTGTTTTCGGAGCTTCTGCCTTAGCAATGACTTCATCTGATTTCTCTTCTTTTACTTTCTTCTCATCTTTTTCCTCTTTCTTTCCTTTGTCTGCGTCCTCTTTCTCATCGTCACTTTTGGACGCTTTATCACTTCCTGCATCTTCATCCTGATCTCCACCCTCTGCCTCAGCGCCAGCGTCTTCCTCTCCGCCGCTGGCCTCCTTGTCTTCGGCCTTCTCTTTGTCAGGAGAGGCTTTAGACTCTGGAGTTTTGGAGCACAGCACTGTCTCCTCAACTTCCTCCTCTTCCTCTCCTCCCTGTTCTCCTTCATCGCCTCCCTCTGCATCATCTCCCTTTTCTCCCTCATCATCCCCCTCACCTTCTTCTTCCTTTTCTCCCTCCTCTTCACCTTCACCCTCCTCCTCATCTTCCTCATCACCTTTTCCGTCATCGTCATCCTCCTCTTCGTCCTTTGTGGGTGCGCTTGAGCTAACTTTGGCTTCGGTGGCGGCTACAACTTCCTCCTCCTCAACCTCCCCCTCCCCCTCTCCCTCATCCCCCTCGCCCTCTGCCTCAGCTCCCTCACCTTGCTCATCCCCTTCCTCTTCCTCCCCCTCATCTCCGAGTTTGGCAGACAGCTCTTGCGCTATCTCCGCCAGGGCCTCATCGATGTCGGTTTTGTCATCCTCCACCCTTGTCTCTTCAATGATCTCCTCCACAAACTTGTGCTGCACCTTCAGCTTGGGAGCGTCTGATTTAGACTTTGACATTTTGGTGGCCTGGCGATAGGGGAAAGTGCTGAAGTGGGTCTCCTCACCTTCTAGGAGTTTCCTGGCAGGATAAATATGACACATTTGTCATTGAGAATTTAAAAGGATGAGGAAAATTACTGTAGGTGATTTTTGTAGCTACTTTTAAAATATAAAAATGAATGAAAGTATATACCTGTATGCAGCAATCTCAATGTCCAAGGCCATCTTGACATTGAGCAGGTCCTGGTACTCACGCAGATGACGAGCCATTTCCCATTTGGTGCTCTTGAGCTCATTATCCAGCTGGTGAATTGTCTCCTGAGGAAAAACAGGCACATGCAATACAAGGGGGATTGAAATGTGCAGGTCAAGTGAAGCTTTTTTTCAGATTTATTTGTGAAGATTTTCAATCTCTACTCATGGATTACTGGGCCCCTTGCAACGATGGTTAACAGTTTTACAATTCATTTTCATAATTGGCTTTATGCTTCTAAGTCATCCGTGCAGATTTTGAAGACTCTGTAGTCTGTGCACCAAAAGCTGTTGCTTTAATTTATTCTGACGCAATACAGTATTCTAGAGATTCTGAATGCCTCCTTTTCAAGGACAGCCTCCACATTTATCAATACACCCCCGCCCCTACCCCAGAATCTCAGTGGTGTGATGTAAGGACGAAGCCAGTAAAGGCATCGACCCAGGCCTCTGACTCAGCAGAGAGAGAGAGAGAGAGAGAGAGAGAGAGAGAGAGAGAGAGAGAGAGACTGCTGCAGAGTCTCCCATTTAACCATTTCATGACACTTGCAGCGCTGAGTAATGCTGAACGATGAGCTCATAGCAAACATTAGGGAGCAGAAAATGTTTGTAGACCCTCAAACACGATAGAAAATAAATAAATGTGATCTTTTTGAATTGTATTCACAACTTTTGCTGTATGTGAGACCCTCAAGTGAAACTGCGTCACATAAATATAATTCAATGACACATAAATCACATTAAAATACGTTTACATGATAACTCAAACCCTGATTGTTACCTTTTAATTGTAGTTTGTTTAAAAAAGTTTGTTAAATCGCACAACATAAAATAAATCCCCTTTCCTACAATGAAACAGATACCGTTTAAAAGGTCTTCTCAGGGCATTACGCACGGCTCTGTCTGCCTCGGAGCTGTTTCTTTACCTGCAGGCTGGCCAGGTCGCTGTTGTGGCGGTCCTCGATGTCATTCAGCTGCCTCTCAAGAGACTCTCTCGTCCCGCGGACAGACTCCAGCTCCACCGTCTTGGATTGCAGCTGGCGGCGGTAGTCGTTTATCTCATCCCGAGCGGACTTTATGGCGTCCTTGTTCTGCTCTGCAGCCTCGGTGAGCTTGGCGTAACGGCACATGAACCAGCCTTCCACCTGCTGCAGGTTCTGGTTGGAGTGGCCCTCCAGCTCGCAGCGGATCTCCCGCAGAGCCTCGGTGATGTCCGCCTTTTGGAGGTCTTTCCTCTCCACGGTCACCTGAGACGCCTGGATCTGGGCGATCAGTTCGCTCACCTCCTCCTCGTGGTTGTTGCGAATGAAGGCGATCTCATCCTGCAGCGACTGAACTTTTTTCTCCAACTCGGACTTCATCAACTCCGAGTCGCTCGTGTCCTTCTTCAGGACGCGGATTATCGCCTCTGTCTCCTCCCGGATGCGAGCCTCCTCCTCAAAGCGGTCCCTGAGCCGCTGGATGTCCTCCTCAATGTGGTCGGTGTCAAGTTGCACTTGCGCCTTATCATGGTGGATCTGCTCCAGCATGGAGCGCAGCTCCTGCAGCTCCTGGTCGTAGAGGTCTCCCAGCTGGGAGCGGGACACCTGCTTCTGACGCAGAGCCTGGATCTCCGCCTCGATCTGCTTGTTCTGCTGCTCCAGGAAGTGCACCTTGTCGATGTAAACAACGAAGCGGTCATTGAGCCCTTGAAGTTGCTCTTTCTCATTAGATCGCTTGTAGTCTCCGTTCAGGATGGAGGTTTGATTATAATCAACGCTGTCGGCGGAGCTGAGCACCGTGGAGCTGTAGGCTCGGGACACCGGCACGTTCACGCTCCTCTTGTAGGAGGTGGTCATGGTAGATCCAGGGCTTGCCCGGGACCAGGATTGGGAGCGGAATCCGCTGGAAGGGGTGCTGCCGGAGCGGCTGTAGCCATAGCTGGTCCTAGTATCCATAGTTCTCCTGAAGGGGCTCCCTATCGTGTCCGCCGTGTAACTCATTCGGTTTGACCACCGTGGGGGTGTGAGCAGAAATGAAGGGGGACCGAGCAGGTGGTGGAGGGTGTATGTTGGTGTATGTGTTATGTGTGTGTGTGTGTGCAGGTGAGGGGTGTATGGCTCTCACAGCGACTGATCCCTTCTTTGCCTGCTCCTTATATATGTGAGGCTCTGCCGCTAAGAAGGCGAGTCCACGCAGTTTTGTTCATTGATTGAGGGGAGGGGAGGGCGCGTGCCCCTCAGACCGGCTCTTAGTGGTTCCAAGTCCCGTTCAGTCTGAAGCACGTGGTCAGGAGGCGCAACATGTGGGTCCGATTAAATACACATAATACGTATCGAATAGATAGATAGATAGATAGATAGACAGATAGATAAAATAGATAGATAGATAGATAGATAGATAGATAGATAGATAGATAGATAGATTTATCGATTTATCGGTAAAAAAAATATAATGTCTCAGATATTTTGAAAAGTTAATCTTATTAGACCATTGAAAATCAGTTAATCACTCCATCAATTTGAAACAGTCACTGCTGAATCAGTTCTGTCATTTCAGCACCTCGGACAGCGACTTTAAAATAATCAGTCAGGCTTTTATTTTATTTTTTTCTCTTTCTCTGGGATTATTGATTTACAACTAATGGATGTGAACTATTTATATCCATATTAATTCATCTAACAAAAAATACGTTTTATTCTGATTCTGAACTTGTATTCTCACATTCCTTTTTCTCAATTTGAGAGAGAGGGAAACACTGCATATGCACATAAAAACTGAAACTTTAATTAAATGAAGATAGTACTAATAATAATTACTTGAATAATATGTATGCGTTCACACATAAAAATTGAATGTATTTCTAAAATGTGTATTGCTGTAGAACTCAATTAATTAAATGGTCCATAAATGTATAAAAAATGATGAAAACTAAACACACACTTCAAACTATAATGACATTTTGTTATTTCAGCTTGTACAGAAAATGGAAGCTTAACTACTAAGCATCATTTGTGCAGTTTATTGGTGTTTTCATCTGCAGTATTTTGTGAACAACGTTTTGATATACTCACTTGATGGGTGAGCACACATTGTGCATAGCTTTACTTTATAGTCCTAAAATGTATAGGCCAAACAGGCATACATAGCAACGCTTTCTTTTCTGCAAGGAGTATCTCTACTGCTATCTTCACTATGGTAAGTGTACAGCCTCATGGGATTTATGTTGTAAATCATGCATTTGCTGAGGCCTTTTTCCCTGAATAGTAAAGCATCGGTGGCTGCCTGTCCTGAGGGTTTGGCCCCACGGACAGGCCATCGATCTCCTATCAATCTGGACGCTTCTCTCTAATTCTTGGTCAATCACCTATCAATCAGGTCAATGCAAATGATTACCAATCAATGTGGGTGATGCACCAAAAACAGCTGCATTGGTCCTTTTTCAGCATCCTTTACTTAATGCATTTAAGCCTGTTAAAGTCTTTTTTACACTCTTTCATACAGGCACACGTCTGCTGTAAGCCTTGCAGCCTGACAACGAATATTTACATCAATTATCATGACTACAACTTAAATATAACACCGCTTTTCTTTTTGTAGCAGGTATCACAGAATGGCATTGTAGAGCAGCTTCTACTGTGAGTATAGTTTGTGTAGAGAACTTATTCTGCTTTAAACACTTTGGACGTTTGCCATTAATCACCTTTCTACATTTTTACGTCCCCCCTCATTGGCTTTCCACTGCAAGCTCTAGTCAAGCAGACTGAATGCATCAAGCATGGCCAATTTTAGATCGCTCCAGAGACAAAAAGGTAGACGGAGAGAGAAATAGAGAGATGTAGACAGGGAGGGAGGGAGGGACGGTCACAATGACTTTCTCTTTCTGTGTGTCTGTCTATTTTAAGAACTAAAATGTATCGTAAATGATTTTTTTTTTTACTCGAGTAGCCACACCCACAATGGCCTCACTTGCTGACGTTACAGTGACCTTGACTGCCGCTCCATAGCCTTCTCTGTCCAGGTCTTTTCCTGCTGGCTGCAGAGCTTAAGGCGCATATATTTTATTGTTGGGCTGTTCACTCGGAACACCTAACGTGCTTTTGGATGGCCTACGAGTGCAGCCATGGTGTGATGTACACAGCAGAGCGAGGTGTGGATGGGTTGGGCAAAAACAGGGGAGTCATTCAACATCAGTTCTGGGCTTCAGCGCACTGCAGAAGGGTTGGATTGTGTTCAAATGGCACTGCAGCAGAAAGAAAGGCTCCAGCAAGAATGCAGGCCCATCCCAGTCAGGCCCAGTGTGTCCCAGGCAGGACCCCTGCAGAGACCAGTCTGAAAGGAAATGAGTTCACCTTGTATGAGGTCGTTGCATGGGCATCCATAGGGGACTGGAGCAGCGGTATGTTGTTATTTATGCTGATACGAAGAATAAAAGGACCCTGCTGACCATAAATTCAGTTGATGCTGAGTAACACGTATAAGTGGCTGTGTTGCAATAGTTGTTCATTAATTTTTGAACGTGATAGATGAGGCACATAATCCAAAAGAATCCTTTGATAGTAATTAAGCAGTAGTATCAGGGCATTTCAACAGAGACAAGCGATTCATTTTTTCATGTCTGTTAAGCGAGTTTAACTTATAAGCATATAAGTGTGCATCTGTAGATTAAGTCAGTGTAGCCATGTGGGCAATACGTTTGACGGAAATTGTTAGGTGGCACCCTCAAGTGGCTGTATTATTTATAACTGGAGCAAATGATCAATCAGTTTTCATTTTATAGCACCAAATCAATCTTTCAGGACACTTTACATAAACAGCAGGACTACACCCTACTCTTTGTTATTCGACAAGCGAGTGCTTAGCAACAGTGACAAGAACATTTTTATTTTTCAACAGGTTAGAAACCTTGACAGAATCAGACTCATTGTAACCAGATCAGCAGGAAATGGGGGAGCAATTAGTGTGAAAACTGAATGAGGGATGGAGGGACGGGGTAACAAACGGCAGACGGGAAGACAGACAGGGAAACAGGAAACAGCCAGAGAGAGACAGACGGACGGACAGACAGGGAAACAGGAAACAGCCAGAGAGAGACAGACGGACGGACAGACAGGGTAACAAGAAAAAGCCAGATAGACAGGGAAACAGGAAACAGCCAGAGAGAGACAGACGGACGGACAGACAGGGTAACAAGAAAAAGCCAGATAGACAGGGAAACAGGAAGACAATGAAACACAGAGAGACAGGGAAACAGACATAGACAGACAAGACGATGGGGAAACAGACAGAAGTATAGACAGACAGATGGGGAACACGCAGATACAAAACAGACAGACAGACAAACAGACAGACATATAATACAGATTTAAAGTCACTATGTCCATAGTAATAGTAGAAGTATTCGTGAGCTGGCTACCTTAAGTCAATGTTGACTACAGAGTATAGAACTTACATGTTATATGTAAAGTAACATACATAACTTCACTTCCAATACTCGTGTTTTCACTGATATTATGATCTCTTTGTAACTAAGTAGTTTTGATGCTTAAATCTAACAGACCTGTGACCTTTCATAATTGGTAGTAATTGGACTATGTGTATGACCTGTTCATCTGTTGTTGGTGCCTTCTAATGGTCATCCTATTAGCAGTCTTTGGCAATCATCGTATAGTGCAGGTATGAGGACATGTTGAGCTTGAGGGAGACAAAGAGGACATTTTTGAAAAAATGCAGGTCGCCAGACAGAATGACTCGACACATATTCAGCCATAAATACTGAGCAGCTCAGGAGAGCGGTGAAAGCAGTGACTGTTTTGCCTTCGTCTTTATCACTTCTGTTCTTATCTTCTCTGCTTTTTTAGTACAGTCTCTGTTGGGTTTCCTCATTGTTTTTATTCCTATTTACTTTATTGTCTTTCCTTCTGTTTGCTTTCTTTTTTTCTGTCTTTCTGTTTGTTTTTACTTTTTTTTCTACCCTCTCTTTTTCTTCCTTTCTTTCTCTCCTTCTCTCTTTCTTTCTTTTTGTCTATTCTCATCTTCATTGCAATCATGTCCTCACTTTTCATCTGTCTCAGCTCCACTCTTGATTTCCTTCCCTCCCTCCCGCCCTCCCTCCCTCCTTCACTGCCTCCCTCTCTCTGTCTCATGCTACCTATTTCTACACCTCACTCTCTCCCGGCCACCATAAACTCTGTCGCCTCTTGTTCACAATGTTAAGATTAAAGCTTTATTGCCCTGAACAACAAAATCATCCATCTGTAACATCTATGACCTTTCCTTAACCACAAGCCTTTGTCCTTGAGATGTTCTTTCCAGGATATTATGCAAAAACATGTTGGTAACAAGGTCATAGCACGTGTCATGTGTGTTACCAGTTAGTCATGTATAATGATGAAGTAAAGAAATAAGTTAAAATAATACTGTATGTGATACTGCATATAAACCATTTCAAGACTTAATACTTTACATTGTAGGCCTCACATATATTGTGCATGTGTGTGCACTTCAGAGCCTTGACAGTGGAGGATTCAAATTATTGCATGTTCAGCTCCCATGTGAGCTTTCTTGTATATTGATTTAGATGTTTTTTCCCAGAGGTTCTTTCAACTCTGCTGATGCAAATGTTTTGCAAGAAAATCTATAAGCATGAGGGTTGTCTTAAGGTAGAAACCTGAATGACCCCAGAAGTTCCCATGGTTACACTGTAACCTGCATAAACATAAATACTATGAGTATGGGAATCGAGGAATATAAGCATAATGCTGACCGTATTAGTGACATTATTCTAATTCACCCATGTCCTGCTAGCTCCACCTTGCATACCTCAGTTTTTTTTTATTGAGGGCACAGTGCATCTTTGAATCCATCCAGCAATGAAATATGTAGTTTAAAAGTTAGGTGTTGATAAATTTAAAAAAAGACCAACCAAACAATGACTAAGATTTTTTTTTTTAACAGGTAGGAACCTAAGTTTGGAGTTTAAAAAATTACATTTTCTTTTTTTTCCAGTTGCAGATGGTTTAGTAAGTTACTATATGTATGGCATCAGAACGAAGTATTTGTGAAGCAAATGAACCGACAGACCATATTCGTTATAATTATGTCCCCAATGCAAATGATTCTTCTCTAGTTTGACAACTCACATTACCTGAAATTGGTAAATCT